TGAGTTAAGAGGGTATGTGGAATCAGTCACAAAACCAATAATTCTGCTTTGCTCAAATTAAAAGCTGAATGACTACTAAATTTCTCATGTATGTTTCAGATAATGCCAAGATTTTCTTATTCCAAAAAGGGAAACTTTGTCTTTTCTGCTCTAAATTGGATTGCTATTTGCTCAGCCCCAATGTTTCAATATGGAATTTGGGTATATTGATAAAGAACTGCTTAATTCATACATAAATACACCGTGACTAGAGTAGTTTTCCCCCCTTCTCAGAAACAGTTTGAAGTTTCATTTATAGGGGAGCTGCAATGCTATTTTTATATTTCGGGGTTAAAAAGAATCAGCATTGATGAATGTACAATAAAAGTGAAATGTACACAGTAATTTGTAAAAACCCCAATTTACACCACAGAACAGATGACATTTCCAGGTACTGTATGTGTAGCAACATATTCTACGATTCAGAACGAGGCAACAAAACCCCCACTGATGTAAAGCGGTCTTTTTATATTGTAAAAAGGTAGGCTTGTGAATACATCTCTTCTAATCCAATAGAAATAGAGCTCTTGACTTTGAGACAGTTTTACCAATAAATACCCCTTCCTTGTTAATGCATGCATGCAGATCATGTTGGAATATTTCTGCGGTGAAATGTCTGCTGCACAACCTGTACTTGTTCACTAGAACATCGCATTATATTAGTTACGTAAGTGACTAGGGAGCAGGAAGGGCCAGGTCACATTATAATTTGCACGGACTCCTGCTCTCGCCCATGGAGAGACCAGGGTTTTCTCCAAAATGTAGACCGTACAGTACGTACACAAAGTTCACGATTTTGTGCTTAATTTGCAATTTGTAAAGTTCTGCGATATGGTCAATTTATTTATTACCGAGACTTAATAACTGATCTGAGAAATTAAGACTGCAGTCAAACATTCAATAGTGACTATTCAGAGAGTGTTGCATTAACTCATTGTGTCAAACGGTGGTCTTGTGCCCAGTTACTATAACACACTTTTCCATCTCTTTATATTCTTACTGACTGGATGCAGTCTGATGCAGACTGATGTGTTCTTTGCAGAGCACAGAGGTCCTGATGACATGGGACATCAAACCTATGGTGTTCTGAAAAAAAAAAACTTCCTGAACCTCCTAGTTTGGTTCAAATTTCCCATTTATTTTTAGACCTAAAACAAAATGAGCCTTTAATGAAAGTCGTTATTAAAAGATGAAGATAAACTCATTCAAAGTATAACCCAAAGACACAAGATATACAGGATTTGGATTATTTAATTAACTTAATATTAAATTGATTGTTTAATTTCATCCCTAAATATTCTGGTGTAAACAAGTATGTGGGATTAGATTCAGTAACTGGTGGCGCCGCCTTGAGCAGAAATTACTTCAACTAGACATTTTCTGTAACTGTTTATAAACCTTCTGCATTGCCTTTTGAGAATCTCGGCCATTTTGTTCCTTGCAGAACTGTTTCAAATGTATGACATTTCAGGTTCTCTTGGCATAAACTGGCTGATTTGGGATGTGCTGCAGTTTTTCAATAAGGTTTAGGTCCAGGCTTTGGCTTGGTCAAAAACAATGGAAATGAACAAAACTATTTATCAGCCATTCTGCTACAGATCTGCTTGTATATTTAGGATAATAATAATAATTAATAATTGCTCACACTCAAAGCGCCTTACAGGTAATGGGGACTCCCCTCCACCACCACCAATGTGCAGCATCCGCCTGGATGATGGGACGGCAGCCATAGTGCGCCAGAACGCTCACCACACACCAGCTATCAGTGGGCAGGAGAGCAAAGTAATGAAGCCAATTCATAGATGGGGATTATTAGGAGGCCATGATTGGTAACTGCCAATGGGAAATTTGGCCAGGACACCGGGGTTACACCCCTTCTCTTTTCGAGAAACGCCCTGGGATTTTTAATGACGGTTTTACGTCTCATCCGAAGGACGGCACCTGTTTACAGTATATTGTCTCCATCACTATACTGGGGCATTAGGACCCACATGGACCACGGGGTGAGCGCCCCCTGCTGGCCCCACTAACACCTCGTAGATCTGGGACTGCCTGTACAGCCAGGATTGCTGATTGCTGAATTCAAGAGTGGAAAGCACAGCGGAGCGAGAATACTTAACGCATGGAGTGAGACCGTCTGCCGGGGAGAAATGGGAGGCACACCATTGAAGTCTCTAGAGAAAGTCTAACAGTGAGAAGCAGGTGGAACTGGATGGGCTTTCGGAAACTGGAGTGGTGATTTGATGTTGCCAAAACAAAGCTAGGAGACCCTAAAGGACCACCTGAAAGTCAGGGTCACGTCTCGGGGAGATGGCTGATGTGGATGTTGAAAGTGGGGGAGAGCACAATATAGCCTGCACTCTCACCTAGAAGGCCTTGGCTACAGCAGTGATCTGAGACTGCTCTCTGGGTGCTTTTATATTGTAACGCAACGGGGTTCAGGCGGGCGCCTTTGCCGCATTTGGTCGGCCCCCCACCGTTGAACCGCATTAGGTCAGCCCCCCACCGTCGGGGGCTCGAACCCGGGACTCTCGCGTCACTCAACAGGGACCCAGCCCAGCGAGCTCCACAGAGATCTCTCTAGCCCAGTAGCCGTAGTCCTGCTATCACAGGGAAGGGCGGCGACGTCACCGCTCTGGTAAGCCGGCTCTTACACACCCTGATGGCCGTATGCGTTACAATATACTGTATGTGGGACTAGACCTAAGAGACGTATTTGTAAAATACGAGTCCTTTCATGTATTTTATAGTTTTAACGCTTTAATATTTCAGTCATGTGCAGTGTTTAAAAGCTCTATATGTATTAGAAAATGTGAACATATATTTACGTTGTCAACAAAAATAGCATTACTTTCAAATACAAAAAAATGCATTTTTTTATTATTTTACTTTTCAGTGTACGTGTTTTTTATTTATTCCTACTGTATGCGCTACTCAGTCTTTAAGGTATATTGGCAATACTGATTTTTCTAAAAAAAAAGTACTTTCTTATAAACTCTAAATTAGACCGCTTAAAGGCGTTACACCGAACTTTATTGTCTTCATTATTGTTGCAAATATGAACAATATTAAAAGCCGGGATATTTACAAAATTAATTTGACCTAAACCACATATTAAATTCCCGAAACCTAGAGGAAATCTAATTCTGAGGGGACCGTAAGATTGTACCGGGTTGATAAACTCGTTTGCCAGCAATATTTATATGGGATGCCACCTGTTGGGAAAAGGTGGTATTGCACGTCATGAGACAAGGTACTGTCTATTCATTTTCAAGAGTACATTTTAAATAACTGAAAATTTTAAAAAAACAGGGGTTCCGTTTTTTCTATTGTATTATTTAAAATAAACACAAACTTAGTTAACAAAAAGGTTTAAATCGGTAATATAATAACTGGAATATTTTATGACTGTCACTAGATTAAAATCGTTGCGGGTTTATTTCAAGGCGTATCCTTGTACGCCTTGAGGATAATGAGATGACTAGACGACGTTTTGCCGTTGAACTTGACGTGAGGTGCAAAACTAATCCAGGCAATTGATTTGTTTGTCCTCGGTTAGCAGGCCAATAGGTTTCGGAAAAATCTGTCATAGTTACTTCGTTCAGCTTTACCCTTTACCCTCATATAAAGTGTATGTCATAAAGAAATCTGATTTAGATGTTTTCTCAACCATTATGCAATGATCCAAAGGTCTCACAGTTTATAATACCGTTGACGGCGCACTCTATCAATAGGAGCATGCAAAAACTGGAAATAATAATTAAACGGTGTTTTTGTTTTAAGTAGCCGAATCTCTTTTGCATTTTAATGAGGTCTTATACAATATTAGAAAACCCATATTGTTAAAACTGCTGTGATTAAGATAATCTTGCCATCTCTAACTTGACAGAAGTTGTCGATATTAAATACCACGTTATAGTACAACTTTTGCGTATGAAAGTTTTAAATACAACTGAAAATTGTAATTGTAATTGACAGCACTTGTAACTCTAATTGTCAGTTATACAGTATATATATGCGCACTCCAGCTCTCCCAAAACGCGCCGAAATCTAATTTGTGCAGTATTAACAAGACCTCTAGTGAGAAGAATCTCATGAGGATTGAGTTCGCATCTTTTCAGTGTCGGACTCTTTTAAAAATGGAGACAAAAACCGAATTTTAGTTTGAGCTACCTAAAGTGTTATCAACGTAAATGCGCGGCACGATTTTCCTAAGTAGTGTGCATCGCAGCGATCAGTACTTTTTTTATAAGCAATTACAATGGAAAAATGTTTAGAATTTGCAGACGATGTAATCCTTTCTTTCCCTAAACATATTCCCTGAAGAAAGCATCGGTGTTTTTCTACCAATATATTTAAACCATTTTAAAGATGATTATAACATAATTCCTAGACATTCATTAACAATCTTTCACATTCGGTGCAAAGGTGAGAATTGTGTTGGCAGAGTTTTGCTCACACGTCTTACAGAGAGATGAGAGAGTACATTTTAGATTATTTTTCAGAAACGCATAATCCTATATTTAATTTTTCGCAACACCTTGGATGAAACACTGCATTTACTGTTGTCCGTCTGAAGAGTTTTAACATCTTTTTGAGTTTTCCGCATACTGTACATTTTCCCCCTGGCGTCTCAAGATTAATTTGCCTTATTTTAAAAAAAATGACTCTTTGTGTCTAAACTACATCAAAAACGGAATGACTTTACGCTCATAAACTATTATGAGGAAAAACAAACAAACAGGCGCTTATATCCCAGGCATGTAGTCCAACGCCAGACACGACCAAAACACGGGGGTATAACACAAAACCCACAGGTGAGTGGTCGTTTGCTTATGTACCGAAATGTAACTGGCTGAAATGAATTTAAAGAAGGGGAACCGTCTTATGTGACAGTCCATTGATGTACGTGAGAGTATATATATATATGTTCATGTTGGCTACACATGTGTCAGTAGCGGTAGTATCGTAGATCAGTAGTGCGATGATGTGGTGTGGATATGCAGGTGTTGAGCCTCGGCTAAGGGGACAACGGAGCGGGTGACTTCTAAAAAGTGCGGCACAGTGTGACCCGATGGGAGGAGAGGTAGGCTGGGACAGAAAGGCAGGGCTGACAGGGTGCGGTCTCAAGCGGCTACTGATCTCGGATCTCTACAATTCCATTTCAACACGGGGACGTGCTTCACAGGGACGCATTCAGAGGCAACCAGAAGCGCAAACCACTGTTGGGACACTCTTTGACCGCTGCCCAGAGTGCAACCTGGCTCGTCTGTGGCCATTCTCATTTTTAAACCGGCTTTGAACCTGTCTGCCAAGATAAACGAACTTTCCTATTTATTCCTAAGCCTGTTCACTGATTGCAGAAGGAGCGCGGCGGCGTTCAGGAGAACATACACTACAGCACCTGGTCTTCCGTCACCGGCACTACCGCTTCTATGGGACAGGGATCTCCCCTGCGCATTGGGAATGGCAAGCATCGAGGACCCCGCAATTAGATCTTAAAGGTTCTGCCCTCCTCCCCCTCCTGTACCCCGTGGGGGAAATAAGGAGAATAAGGGAGGGGGGCTTAAAATACAAGGGTATTTGTTTAATCGTGCCTCTCGGGTCAGAGTACCCACCGATGTGGGTGGAATGAGGCTGCCTGTGCTGCTGACGTTCTTAAGCGGCTGCGCCCTGATACTCTTCCCGGCCACCGAAGGCTGCGGGCCAGGCAGAGGATACGGTAAGAGACGGCCGCCTAGGAAACTGACTCCTCTAGCCTACAAACAGTTCAGCCCGAACGTAGCCGAAAAAACGCTGGGAGCGAGCGGCAGGTACGAGGGGAAAATAACGAGGAGTTCCGAGCGATTTAAAGAGCTCACGCCAAACTACAACCCCGACATCATCTTCAAAGACGAGGAGAATACAGGTGCAGACCGCCTCATGACCCAGGTAAGAACAGAGCGCTGAAATATTCTTTGATTTTTTTTTTTCCTGCTGGCATTAACACTTTTCCAGGGAGCCTATTGGATACGTATTTGTTCTGTTCAGGGCTGCCCTTTGCACACTTTGTTTAAACCAGTGCCAGCCTATTGATTTGCTTTTATTGACCGCTTTTTTTCCTGAGTCGAGAGGACTGATTACAGAGAATGGTATTTACACAGTGCTTTTTATAGAGTCACGTAACCTAGCCTTTGCATTGTGTAAATTCCGAACCAGTCACAAACCTAACCAGCCAAAGTCAAACACAGTTCTTCTTAACTAGGGGACGTGTCAGTAGGGCTGTTTATCTCGATGTTTTCTGGGGCAATGAATAGCAACTATATTTCAAAGCAAACATCCATCCTGAACCTTGGCGTGCTGAATCACATTTCTTAGGGAATCCATGAGACATATCTTTACATAACCAGTCCATCCTTCCCCTCTATGACTTTATTGATCACTGATCGGGTGGTGGTGTTTATTTGAACGAAATCATTTCGATCTTTGCTTTTGTTTTGGAGCTCGAGACTTGGGAAGGCAAATATTTAACCCAAACTAAGGAAGTTTAAATGAAGTCTCCTGTAGGTTTCCTGACAGGAAAATGCACCGTATCATGTCCTTTCCAATGTTATTATTTTTAGTTAAAAAAAAAATATTTTTAGAGTAACATTTCAGGCTTGTGTGTATTTATGCGGCGGAGAATTCCCGTTCCTACTATTGATGCGGATCCCCGTGGAATTGTTTTAATTTGAATTATTCATCTATTGACAATTATTATTCTCATTATTCTCAACATATTATTTCATATTAAAGTGTTTATAAGGCACTGCGGCTTGTTTTAAAACCGAATGTATCTTTAAGTCTCGGGTATCGTCATAAATGTAGGCTGCATTTGACTTTACCCTACGAAAATGCTTAAGTTCCTATAAGACTGTTAGGGGCATTTTCACGATTTAGTTTTATTTTCCGAGTCTTAAAATGACGTTAAATGTGATTAGATCCTATAACCCAAATTGAATGACGACGTCTTCCATCCCATTGCATTTATTAAACGTGGGTATTAACCTGTTGTGAAGGTGTGTATAAAAGCTAAGGTTTTGAGCACTGTGTGTTTGTCTAGCTAGCGGTTAAGACGAAACCGCACCTGCTGAAAAAACGGCAGTGTTTGAAAAGCTAACAAAGTTGAAAAGATGATTAATGAACTCAAGTTTAGATTTGAAACCGCGAAAGAAAAATTGAATTCAAAATCCACACTGCCTTCTGAAAGGGTATTTATTATTGATCGTGATCTATTATTATTATTATTATTATTATTATTATTATTATTATTATTATTACCCGGGCAAAAGACACTTTAATTAAACCGATCTTTTGAGGGATTTATTTCGTATTCTCTTCTGAATCTAGAAGAGAATACGAGATCTGTTTAATTTCCTCGATTCTTATGTTACACTGCAAACAATCTAGTCTACTCTGTAAATGCCCTCTTAAGAAGGGATTAGTACTTGTCCAATAGGTCTTAAGTAGGCTCAGCTCAGGTTTGTGGTAAGAGTAAAAAAAGGATGTCGGATTGACTCCCCCAAAGGCATAGTGTACTACATTTAATACGGGTGCCAAGCACTCGTCTTCAGGAGACTCGTGGGAAATGAATAGAAATGTTACTCATATCCAGTATATACAGTACACTATAGCATACAAACTGTGAAATTTTCATTTGTATTACTGAAAAAAGAACTTAATAGACGAACCAAAAAAAACAGTATGGCGTTATGCTATTTAGTTCTAAGGCTTTGGCCCTGGGGATGTTAGCAAAGCCCATCACTACAGTCTGCAAGCCACTGATGGGATTCCTTAATTGAAAGCTGGGGGCCGTCCCACGGGCACCTACAGTGAATTGTCAAACTGGACTGGTTCAGCGCAGGCTCGCCTGGTTTTCAACACGTTCCGTTCCCGATGTGACAATAGGAAATTAACAGGCGACCTCGATAATGGTCCTCATTCAATCAATCAATACATTCGGACATCTTTCTGCTGTGTACATCTTATCGGACGGCAATGAGGGACGGAGTCATTGAAAAACTTTTAAAACTTTTTAAATTAAGTACTGTACGTATAGTATGGTTTTATGGTCATATTATTGATATTCACGGAGTTTCTGAATTGAATCATGCAAAACGGGCATATCCCTTTTAAAACATAAAATAAAAATAAGCCTATGCATGTTTTTAAAATGAAAATGATTGACTTGCCATTTTTGGAGAATGATATTCTACATTTAAGTGGATTTTTATGCCACGTTCCAGGTTTCACAGTTTGCGCATTTTTTTTAAAGAAAAAAAAAATCCTCGTAAAGGATTGCAAGATGTACAGTATATAGTATCTTTCAGTACTTAAAAACAATTTCTCTTTCACGTAACAGTTCACAATCCCACTGTGTCGGGCATGACGTTTTAAATGTATTTTACATTCATTTATCGACGTTTATATGGTGACAAATACATAATCTCGATCAAATTCATAGTCCTTCCAAAGTAATGAGGGAATGTTATATAATGACGAGAAAAAGGTCAACAACTGAGTTTGTTTTCCTCTCCCATTAAGTGACCAAATCCACATTGTCTAGTCCAGTTTTTGAATAGGAAAGAATTATTCAAAGTTTGTATATCCATACTCTGACGGGGTTACGTAAACTTTTCATACAAGCGCACATGCAAAGTTTTTATGTACTTTACCCTATCCTATAATGGTTTATCTGACTGCTGGTGCTATCTGTGGACTTTACTATGCGTCTCACGTTTGAAGTTTCATGACACGTTTATTTTTTGTAAGTAACCTTTTATTTTTCCCCCAACACTAAAGCAAAAAGCACAACGCAAAAATAAAGAGTGCCTTCCCCAAAGCACGCTACACATGATTGTTTTTGTACTGAATGTTTTGTGAGATGAACTATATGTCCCCCCCCCAGCTGAATATGTTTTGAAAACTCTTATCATTTCACTTTTTATTTGAATTGTGGCAGTGTTGTTTTCTTTTTAGAAATAATTCTGAAGTTTTCTCGGGTTATTAAAATCTTACATAGGGATACATTCAATTTGATGCAGGAGGCTTGGAACACTACCCCAAAGAAACCTCAGGTAATTATTTCTTAATTAGATCCTTAAAAGGAAACTCGAGGATACTAGAATATAAAGTTAAAATATCCTCAATTTGATCTATTGAATGTAACGATAGTGGATCACATTCCATACCATGCATTTTGTTATAACGACTAAGTGATTCTTCATTGGTTACTGTCAGGTTTTAAAACTTTTTTTCTACAGTATTTAAAAAAGTAATCAATTACAGATAGGAGCAGTACTTTTAATTGCTTACTATTATGGGTTTTAAAAATATAACTGAAACAGTTGTAATTTACCTCTTAAGTAACGGCTAGGTCTCGTACTGATGTATTGTAACCTATGTTACTATATAATTTAATAATCCTGATTATTCTCTCCGATTGTTATAAGTTACATTAGTAGTGGCAGTATTTAGTGTTTTAATTAAACCTAGAATCATTTTTCCTTCCTTCGTATATATCTTCTGTAGAGATTGGTAGTCAGAGATTTTAAGCATGTAAAATACGTCCAGTGAAGCAACCTTAAAATTAAGAAATACATATATCACAGCAAACATTTATGTATTATAGCTAATTAACTAAAGTTGCACTGCTGGAGCTACAGTACATTAATGCCTCCATATTTTATGCTCTCAATATAAATGCAAACCTAAAAGCCTTCCCTTCATTTTACTTCAGTTGCTGAAATAATTTCTGATTCCAATTTCATGTATTAAGAGTCCTGTATGAAAGTGCAATGAAAATTGAGTTTGTTTTACACAAATGTATTCTAATACCACACTTCATTAAACATATTTATGGCAATAAAGTTGAGTCCGTCTCACATATATAACCATCACATGACTTTCAGTAATTGCTTATTATTGCAGATTGCAGGGGAGACAGAGTCTGTCCTGGAAAACACTGGGCGCAAGGCAGGGTACACCCTGGATGGGTGGATGGATTGCAGGACACACACAGACACAGACATGCACACATTCATACCAGGGGTAATTTGTCCACAAGCCAATTAACTTAGTAGTATGTGGGAAGAAACTGGAGCAAGGAAACCCAGGTTAATTAGAGGAGAACATGGGAGGACTCCAAACAAACAGCACTCCAGGAATTGAACTCAAGACCTGCTGGGTTAGCAATGCTGACCACTGTGCGGCTTTGCTAAAAACAAACAATACACAATTAAAAAAACATTATCGTTTTCTTAAACAATGTGTTTTTAATTTTGATAGCTTCTTCTAAAAGAAATGCACAAATTGACTTATGACAGGGTCTATTTTTACATGGTTTGGTTAAGCAAGATATAGTGCATTCATTGGACAACTTATGTGGATGTTCAGAGCCTTCAGAAAACAGGGGAACATCAAATTGATACATTTTCATATATTGAATATAGGCCCATGTGTAGCATTTTCAGTTTCTTTCCGATTCAAGTGAACCTCATTTCTTAAGAGCATAAGAAAGGTTACTACAAGAGGAGGCTTTTTAACTCCTCTGTCTCAGTAGTGTCCTAGGACCTACAGTAAGTGATACAGGGATGTAATTTCTCTGTATTTCTTGAAATAACCCAGTATATCAGTTTTTGACAGCATAACAGGGTAGCTTATTCCACACTCCAACAAGCCCTTATACAGTATAACAACGTCTCCTGTTCTCAGTTTTAAATTGGCTTACCTACAGTCTAGTTTTCACTTGTGTCTTCGAGTTGGCATTTCACTCTTGATGCTGAAGAAGTCCAATTGATTGACTTTTCCTCAGGTTTCCTCATAGTCTTTATTCAGCATTATCAGATGGGTGGGCTAGAACAGTAGTACATATATTAAACAGTGTATGTTTTCATTCTTTGGGGAGTCAAGTT